GGGAAGAAGTAAAAAAAATTCACTGATCCAGGAATCACATCACTGTAACTAAATCACTCCATGCTGAGAAGAAACCGACTAAGAATTCTGATCATAACTGATTCTCCATTCTGATACTGATTGCATTTTGACAACAGACGATAATAAAAAGCGAGGTTAGAGTTCTGCACCGTTGCCAAGTCGTGCATCAATGAGCATGAATATTCCGTGTTTGCTTTCTGTAGGACTAAGTTTCCGACCGAAACTGTCATGAGTTTATTGAAGAAAGAAATATTTATAACAAGAAGCATACTTTTCAATGTAGTTGAATGAAATAATTAATGAATGAAATAATTAATGAATACGGAGTTGATTGGAGATAAGATGAAACACCGATAATAATAGTGGCACTTTGGTGACACTGTACGATGACGCAACCACTTATCAGAGTTATAGAGAGGGGGGGCATAGTTGACTCCTGGCGGACAAACCTTATCTTCGAACATTTACCTGCTTCAATTATTTATTAAAAAATAGCGAAGGAATGTTTGATCTGTAATTCAAAGGGTGAATTAGGTTTATAAAATACCCCTAATAAAAGCCAAACGTTGTATGTTGCAAGTCAATGTCAAAAACGCTGAGTGTGCAGAGGGGATGTTAAAGCTACGGAGCACTCCGTGGCATAGTGTTCCTTATTCGGTTGCATTTTTTGAGTTTTTTGTTCCTTTAAAATTGAACTATTGATGCAGCAAATTTTTATCAATGCAATCTTTTAAAAAAAGCTATTACCAAAATTTTGAAATTTTCAGGAAAATTTTACGGATTCCATATTTTTACGAAAGCTACCGCATGTTTTCCTTAGAATCCAACCCGAAGATTAACTTTTGCAAACAACTCACTGAAAAGACTAAAGGGGTTGGTTGTATTTACGTTCAACAGTCATTTCAGGGTCAGTCTCATCATCAGGTAATAAAAAATTAAAAAATAAACTTCAAAGATAGAGCTTAAAATTGTGAAAATGAAGACCCCTCAAAATATATCATTTATCCCTTATGTATAGATGAATGACTCGCTACACGTCTGCAGTTGTTCATTTTCTCTCTACTACCTGAGTATAAGGTCTGAGAATAAGCAAGTAATAACATCCTTCGAAATTGTTTCGATGAGCTTGTTGGAAAAACTACATTTATTACTGTGTTAAAAAACATTGATTCTAAAATTTAAGTGACTAATATTTTGTACACACTATGATAACGATGAAAAAAGGAAGGAGGATACTTGAGAGGGCATTTTCCAACCCTTATTGTTAATCTTTTAAACAGCATTCAGAAAGAAAGAAATGGATGGGGCTCTGCTTAGTTCTTGAGCTTTATCAATGAAAGTTGATCACGCTTCAAATTTTGTTTGAACTACAGAAAAATTCAAGTTGTGATGCAAAAGCATGCAAATGTTCAAAGAGGAAGGACAAAATAACGAACCAATTTTAAACATAAAAAACCATTTAATTTAATCAATGATTATGCAAAACAAATTGAATATCAAATAGAGACAAAAGGGTAAAATTTTATAACAGAATTACGAGGCTTATACAGACACTCAACAAAGAGCTTAATATGTTGATTGAACAGTAGATGGAACTAGGAATTTTTGCAGGGGAAGCACATGACAGAAGGTAACCATATTTTTGTCTCTAAAAGAGAGAAAGATCACCACTAAAGGTGGTCCTCGGCTTTGGCGCAATGCATTCTGAGTAAGATCGATTCACTTTGAATTCTTAGCAGTTGATGGATTATTTTAGAAAAATCAAAATTTCAGTCTCTAGATCTATCATTGAGGAATGGTTGGGCCGAAAATCATGCTGCCAAAATCTAAAAATTCAGTCGAAAGAACTGTCCACAATTTACCATCAAAATCAATATACTGACATCAGTTGCTTTTTGCTTTTCTTGACTTTAATACTTTGGAAGGCGACTTATATGGCCAAACATTCCAGAATGATTAAACTAGAGAATGGAACTTTGATTCTCCAAAATAATTCACCTAATAATTAAAATTTGAAATTTATCAATCGTGTTCGGAATGCATTGCATCAAAGCTAAAGCTACATCCTCGGTAAATGTTTTAAAAATTTTCTCAGAGGACATTGCCCACCTTAACGCCCCTAGTTCCATCTATGGACTGAACAAAATTCAAAAAACAATGTATAGAAAAAGTGATATGCCAAAGGCAGGTAGACACAGGAGAAAATCAAGCTCTACAGAAATTAGCAGAAACTAAAAGAAAGCGCTTGTAAAAGAACAAAAAATATCCAAACAGCACCAAAAATAATTAAATTTTTGATATCAGCTACAATAATTTGGCTGTTTGCAATTCTTGCGGTAAATTTGTTGAGGTTTGACACTCAGTTTATCAGTGAAAAGAAATTGCTATCATGACACGCAAAATTATTGCTGAAGCAAAGGCGCATTATTTTGCAGGTAGGAAAACATGAGCATCCAGTTCATCAAAGAGAGAAAAAGAATTTGACATCCACCTTAAGTTTTCTTTGATTAGTGGTGATTGGAAAACGGAATAGGATATGTAACATGGACAAAAATTCTCATTACACGTACGATATGATCATTCTATAAAACAGAACAATCTTCAGAGAGGCCAATGAGAGAGGGATTTGACAGCAATGGATTTGGAAGCATTAAATTGAATCAGGATAAGATGCTGACAGGATTTCTTTTTAATTTCTTTAAGTTTCAAAACCACTTTGATCCATTTATTAATTTTCAGCTAAGGCACTGTTGTATCCATAAATTAAAACAAGGATTGCTTGTATTGCAACTGAAAATTCCAAAAACTTGAACAAAACATTAGGTACAAAAATTTAAGCGAAATAATTTTTTGGCAAAAAATTAACATTTTGAGGAGGAAAAAATAGTTTCACTTCTCACGCTACTTTAAATTTTCTTAAATAATTGCTTTGATCGGAATTGTCATTTTTAACCTACTAAAATTCACAGTTTTCATAATTTCTTCATTTTTCAGGTCCCTGACTAGTTTAGCTTTTTCCTGAATCCAAAATATTCAAATTCTCTCACTTTCTCTGACCTTGAATCAAAATCTTGATTGTTATTTTGCTTTTAACTACGTTAACTTTTGCTACACCATCTGAGAACAAAGTCTGCACTCCTAGAGCTTCAGATTTAGAGAAAAGGCACTCTGAAATTATTTGCATTCTCCTGAATGGCACCAGCAGAGGTTACTGAGTTAACGTGCAACTCGCCAAATTCCCTAACTTATCATATGGGTTTCCCGACTTTTCCAAGTGACTGTGAATTCCCTAAATTCCCAGGTTTTTCAGACCGCTGGGAAGCCTGAAATAAAACTGTTGTGATTCATACATGTAATTTTCCTTTAAGTTACTAGAAAAGGTAATTTAATTTAATTGATTTTCACTTCTGCAAGCTATAACGTCATCAAATCATTTCTAGAAAAAAAAAAAAAAAAAAAAAAAATCTCAAGAGGAGATACAATTTTATGTTGTTTTTTTTTTGCAGTTCCTTTTCATCATACATTTGCATGATTTTATTTTGAAGTCTGAGCGAAATCAAGAAAGATTGAAAATTAAAAATCTTTAATACCTTCACTTAAAAAATGCTGTACATTTTATAGTCCAGGCATTATAGGAAAAATAGAAAAAAAAATTTATATATAAGGTTTTATGTGCCCAAGTTGTTCATTGGGGTGCCAGGGACTCCCAGCAAAAAGTCCCCAAGAATCCCCTGTACGCTCGACCCCCCGCCCCCCCAAAACCCCAAAAAAATCGACCTTTCCTAGGTTTTTCGTAAATATCTCAAAAATAATTGGTTTTAGCGAAAAATGAGTTATTTAGTGAATAAAAGTTCATAAAATTTCCAATAAGAATGACTTCTATAAATTTTTTTGTAAAACGACTTTGAACCCCTCAAAATGGCCGCCAAAAAAACGGGCATTTACGGAAATTTCAGTTTTTTCCCGAAAATGCCCATTTTTCTTTGAAAC